TTATAACATAGCCTTAGCGAAGCGCGCGTTCTGATTGGCTAATACGCTCGACCCATTTGCCCGTAAATGTGTTTACAAAACTTGTTTTAGTTCCCAATCTTCCCGCGAGTATCACATCATTGATTCCCGTGATACTCACGTGCACGGAAACACCTGTTGTAGACATAAAATGGCCGTGACATTTATCAATCCTTCCTTGGATCCCCGGATCACCGTTTACTGTTCATACATGTATGTGGGCCAAGAGTTTTCCAAAAGAGTGCTTCTACAACCTTTCAAGAGGACTCTACATGATTAAACCGGCTTCGGGGAAAACAATTGTCAGTAATACAAAGAACATCAGAGTATGTGACCGTCACGCTCGACACAGATGAGGAACGTATAAATGCACCTTGTATACAAACCTACAGCTGGAAGGAAAAGCTGGCAGTTTTAATGCTACCTAGGTTTCAAGGAACGCTACACAGGACTAAAACTATAATCGTGAGGCCAGGTAAGAAATTTACGTGAATTTATCGGAGCACTTTACGAAGGCGAGTATGTCAGTTACTCAATGGAATATTTTCAAATTTCCTGCTCCTTTCTCCTACCGCCTGAGGTCAAATATATTTGTACTAGGCATGGGTGGCCCTATCGTGAGACGAAAAATAAAAAATAAAACGCCGGCGAAAACTAGACTCGGCGTGCTGGCCCGAGTAATAATCAATTCATTAATGTAATCTTAAAGGATACGCTTCACTTGGTTCGACTGCAATACAGTGTATAAGAAAGTTTGATAACAAAAAAGCCCATATTACTCATGATACAAGAAAATAAGTTATCTATTAATATTAGCCCGAAAACATCGGCCTGTGCCAATAAAAATGGGAAAGAAAAGAACGATTTTAATATGGGGGAATTTTCAGCGAAGTTTTCTATAAAATCGACATGATTAAATTGCATATATAGAACATCATTTTCAGCACTTCTGTATAAGACCAGTGACACGCAAAGCGAAAAACAGATAGAAACATTTAACATTCTTTCTTTCAAACACCTATTTTTTTTTAAACATTAACTTCCTCTAAAATTTTTAGAGAGACGAATCGCAACCACGTGCAGGTGCAAATTTTACAAATTGACCAATCACATGCAGTTTTGAGAAGGAGTGCCCCCCCCCCCAATTATTACTTATTTTCCATCCAAAGTCATAAAAGCGCGGTAGGTCACACGAGTTTACATTTTATTTGAGGCTCCTTGAGGTTACATGATGCTTAGAAGTTAGTATCGTGGAGCGGTTTGCTCATCTCTTGGGTTCGTGTTCTCGTCTTGCAGAAGTTGTTCGCAGTTCAATCGTCGAGCAGCGCGGCAGATTCCTCTCTTAAACCCGTTTACCTTTCCTTTGTTACAGGCCTGTAAAAAGAAAAGATAAGTATCGTTAAGAAGACGGGCGAAACTCTACTGGAAGCTTGCTGAGATAAATTAAAACCAAGAATTTTGTAACAATGAAGCGCTTTGATCGCTCTCTACAAGCAAAATAGCTTTTATTTGATTTTATTCTTAACCACAAGGCTAAGCCCTTAACAACACACACACACACACAAAAAAAACAACAATAACCCAAAAATCAAGTGCATAGATAATTTTGCAAAAGCAAGGTCAAGCTCTTAAATTAATAACTACACTCACAGGCAATGGGCTCTCGCCGAAACAGCTAGGAGCCACTCCAGAACTTTCTTCTATCATAAGAAAAACGACGCTAAAGAGGAAAAGAAAAGCAATGGCCATTACTTTGTCCATCTTGGTCACCTTCAGTAAGCTGAACGAGTCAGTTTGACGCTTTGTAAAAGTGCAAGCCGCTTCTTAAGGAACTGTTTTATAACGTCAGCTTTGAAAACAAATTAAGTCAAATAACTTATGTAGTTATTGTAACAAACTGATCATTAAGGGAATTGATGTATAAGGAAATTCCTCTAACTGATAACAAAAGAAATGTATGAACACCAGAAGGAGAAGATATACGCACTTGTATGCCAGAATATGAATAAGCCGACATGTGCCCCATTGTTGTGCTTGTTCACCTATTGGCGCTCAATATCAAAATATGCCGACAGGTTTTGAAAAACAATACCAAATTTGGTTCTCAGATATGGATTAAAAAAAGACCACCTGTAATATACGTCTAGAGGCTGGGCTCAGTTGTACGAGTTTCCTCTACTAGATATCGGTTAAAAAACAACATGACACCAAGAAGACGAGTTTTTTACTAATAGTAGCCCAAAAACATCTGCCTGATATCTTTGAGAAAAACGAGAGCAATTAGAGAGACGAGAACAATTTTAATATCGTGAAACAGTTTTGTTTTTTTATTGCTTAAATCTTCCTGTTTTTTTTTTCCCAGTCAAAACACAAGGAGGTTCTCAATGGGGTGGTGCCTTTTACAGCAAACGGTGAATAATTTGGCATTTTAACGGCTGACGCTTAATTTACCTTCCTTACAGTTAACAGAATTCTTAAAAATTAACAACCACTATTTTACAAAGTCAACATTTTTTTTATTGTTTTAAAAAGTTGAAAATTTATTTTGATTACTGTAAAACGTGTTTAAGGCGGCCTAGGATGCCAAATTATTGACTGATATCTTACTACTATAGTAATAGATTTATATGCCTGTGAAGAAATAACAAACGTGCTGTATGGCCTTTGCTGCTTTAAATTGCAAAAAAAAAAAAAACAGTGTTTAGCCTACGACTGAATTTTTTGCCCGTTTAAAGGGTTAACCCCATCGCGACCGTCCAAAAGATAGCTATGTACAAAAAGGCCGGCTGCACAACACTAGTTGTATTCACATTACGGGACAAGAACGGTAACCTGTCCGATGAGTTTTGCGTCCTATTGGAAATTCGTGATGCAAAATACTCATTTAAACTTGCTCTAAAAATTTAAATAAGGACGGGTTAGAGGCGCCAAGTTGCAATAACAAAGTGCTTCGCTTTTGTCTGGAGCCCTGGTCTTAGTGTAAATTTCGACATGTTTCTGGTCTAGCAGGGACCAGAATTCGTCGACGCAGACGAATGCGAAGATGCAGGTAAATTTGAACGAGTTTCCCGCAAAACCCGTCCAGTCTGAGTTGTCATAAGCGAGAAACTGATCTTGGACAATTCACTACTATCATGATTCTGTCGGCAACGTTGTTGGCGTGCATGTACTTTAGTCTTTCTAGTATATTGTTTCATTGGTTAGTGAATTTTTATAATTCAAAGGTCCTAACCACAAACATTTTACCCACAGGGTTTTTAAACTGGGACGTAACGCGTAAAACAGTCAAGGAGAGCCGTTTGCTGTGTCAACTGTTTTGACATATAACACAACAACTGCCGAGCTGTTGTGTTTGTTCACCTGTCTTGTATGACAGTGTTTGAGAGGGATAACAATAAGCCTGGTTGATAAGACTTGCAAGAGAGCATGTCGCACGTCGAACTTTCTTCTACGAGAATGTAAAGTCGATCTAAAATCTACCATGTGCCTCAAACGATGCCCAGATAAAAATGACCAATTTTTAGACTGGTAGTTTAAAAACAGAAGCGGCTAATATTACGCAACCGCAGTGTTTTGTCTAAGATGAAAAACTTCTTTTTTGTCTACAGCTACAACAGATGACAATATTTCTGTTTACAAAGAGTTAAGCACAGGTTATTTTTCGGCTCTCTAGTAATTGAGCATCAACCTAAAATAAGATGTCAGATGGTACGTGCTGCTTGACCATTTTTATTTTACGTTTTATTTATTATTATTAAAATATTATATTGATTATAGTTAAGCTAGCTTTTGTAATGAAGGGATTATTTAACAATCTGACCTGCATGTTCCAAGCATTAAAAATTATTCTCTCTTTGTTCTCTCTTTGTTTTGAGAATTTGTTAAGTGATCAATCCAATATTCCTCATTGCAACAATTTGCGGTTTTATTTTCTCTTCTTATGATTGCTTGATACTCGTATTGTAAAAGGGAATTGGGTCGTGAGCACTCGTCAGTAAAGAATGGTTAAGCTAGCTTCTGTACTGATCCAAAATCTCTTATAATTTAAAATAAAACAGAAAAATAATATGCACTCTTTGCAGTGATGTTTATATAGTTCCATGTGGTTCCATATTTTCTTTTGTTAATTCCTTATTTAAAAAAAAACAAAACAAAAAACTACCGGTCACCATCTGACTGCGCCCAAAAAATCGTTATAGTCTGTCGAATTATATTACAGTATTTAAATTTTACCGCAAGTTTTTTTCGTCGGTACTAGAATTTAAATTTGCGTTAAAACAATTTCACCCACTCTTCTCGATATTGCACAATAAGCCTGCCTAGCTTTGCCGCTATGAGGGAAATTAAAAAAAAAAAGGTAATTTGGGTTTTTCCTTGTTTTTCTTTGGTTTTTTCCTTGTTTTTCCATGCTTGTCGGTTCATTCTGCATATATTAAGTGAAACTCGCTCTGAATGACAACGAACATTTGTTTTCAGGAGGCAGTAAATAGCGATATCTCCTCGATTCAGATCCGATATATACCAGCTCATGATATTGCATTTAGTTTTATAAACCTGTAACCTTTAATACGTCTTTTAAACCTGTAACTTTGAATATGTATTTTATCAATTGAAAAAAGAAATAGAGACTTTTTTTATTGTGTGAATTGATGAAAAAGTGCAGCAATTTTCGCTAGTGTCTTAACTGCTCAAATCGGGCAGTTAAACTTTAATGTTTCTCATGCATTCTGTTGAACCAGAGGCAATAACCCTTTATACGATATTTCGCTAACGATAGGGTGGTGGCACTCCACAGTGCACACACAGTGGAGTTTTCAAAGCAAAATGAAACTTTTATTTCTAATTTATTAACAATTTGTTCTTGAGACTGGTAATAAGTCAATTTTATCGTCCCACTTTATTTGAGGCTACAGAATGTTTCCAGAACGTTATAGTGTTTTCAAGTTGTTACTTGGGAGCGGTTTGCTGAACTCTTGGGTGCACGATCACGTTCTCGTCTTGCAGGAGTTGTTCGCAGTTCAATCGTCGAGCGGCGACTCAGATTCGTCTCTTGAAATTCTTCATTTTTCCTTTACAAAACTGTAAAAAGAAAAGAAATTTTACTGATCGTTGAGAAGACGGATGAAATTCCACTTGATGTGCGTATGATCAATTAAAACTCGAGAATTTTCTAACGATGAAAGTGCTGTTTTTGGGGGGTGTTTTTGCAGATCCGTCTCGTGCGTTTTGAGCTTTTGAAATTCCTGTTAAAAGGACTGGGATGAATCTAAGGTGACGATAAAAATTGAAGTGATAAAGACGCTCTGAGATCGATTGACAAGTAACGCTGGAATTTCAAATTATCTAACAAAACTGTCATAGGAAAGCTGCAGAAGGAAAACCGAGGAATAGGATAAATGGAATTATCTCGATAAATAAATTAAGAGTGGCGCTGTGGTTAAAATATACTGAAAGTGTTGCTCTTTGAAATATTCTTTGGTGGCTAGGAATAAGTATAAATTGAACGCCGTGCTCAGTACAAATTAGTTCCAATTTTCTACTAGCTCGAGCTCTCTTTAATAGTAGCAAATAAAGATAGAATCACATTCTTCAGTTAAATTATGGAATTTATCGGATGTTTAACATCATCGTGAGGGCAAACAAACGTCCCATTACCTTCTTTTATCGTGAGAAATGTGATGCAAAAGACAAAAAGTCCAAACACCATTGTTTTGTGCATCTTGTGGAAATTCAGGAAGCAGCTGAGTGAGACAGTTTGGCGCCTAGCTAGTGTGAAAGCGCCTTTTAATCCCGTTCAAACGGCCAATAATGAGTAAGTCCATTATTTTCTTATCTTAAGAATATATTTAAAGTGACAAGCAATTCAATACCACTTAAATTGCGCGTAAAATGTTTTTAGAGAATAGATATATTGACAGTCTGTCTGATAAGCACATTACGAGGCAGATGCCCTGTTGTTGTTGTTGTTGTTTATAATAGATAAGAAACATTTCTTCGTAGCTTCCGTATCTTTTTTCGTTTTCCAGGATTCCTTTGGCAAAGTACTCAGAATAGGACCTTTATTTGGTGTAAGCGGAAGAACGCACGCACTTGGGTTGAGAATATTCTTTTCAGTGGACGAAAAACTCGCGCATTAAATACTTTGGCGCTAAACCAATCGTTTCATTCTTTTATTCGGTACCAAAGTCACTGGATTAGTATTATTAGCTTTGACTATTTTTTGCTAAAATAAGTTTTATTTTGAGACAAATTACAAGTATGGCGGCTGATCTTCTCGAGTTGTTGGTTTTCCGGTTGCGTTTTACGGACATCTAAATATGACGACAATTGAATCACTGGAAAATGTTTCCGTTTTCAACTCTCATGGACTATAACAAGCAAGCTGTTGCACCACTCTTTGTTCATAAAAATGAGTTGATAACTCTTGACGGTTATCACTTGCAAATCAAGCGAAAAATGTTGTACACTCACAGGAAAAATATGAGGAGTTTGCAGTGGAGTTGAATTTGAAATGATATGAACGCGCAATAATTTTTAGGGATACGAAAGTGAGACTGAAAACGTTCGTGATTGGAATCGCAATCGGTTTCCCAAATTGGCTCAAAGTCCATTATTTCACTTGCTTACTTTCCTAGCCTGTAAAATGACGTGAATTGTACTTTTTACACGTCCTACAAGCACTGTGTTTCATTCTTTTAAAGGAAACCAGCAATAATTTGTTAGAAGGGCAGACGAAAGACTTTTTACGAAATCGGTGTTCTAGTGGTCGGACGTGTTTTTCGTTGCTCCTCAAAATGCCGGAGTAGCAAGTGAATACCTTCCTGTAGCTAACCATTGAAATGCCTGCAGATCATAGTGAAAAACCTGATGGGTCGAAGAGAGAATGAAGGAGGAAACCCCGGAGAAGAAGCAGCTCCAAAACGGAGGAAGAAACGAGCGACTCTGACAAGGTTTGTGGCCATATACGCAACATTAAAATTGAAGCCCAGTCAAGGCGGAGAAACATTAGCTCTTTGAAGTGCGAGAATTTATTACCGAGTTTAACTTTATCTCTAGTAATTTTACTTCAGCTGAGTTTTTTTTTTTCCTTTTCTGGTACCAGAATTTAAATTTCGTACTATGCATTTTGACAATTTCAGCCACTTTCCTTGATATTGCAAAATAATACTTACAATGCGGCCCTAAAATCATGCACGCGAAAGAAACGGCGCAAAAAGAACACACAAGCCGCCGCAAAGAGGTAAAAATGTCGTGTTTTTTCCGGTTTACCTGCAAAGAACATTCGAAACGCAAGAAATTGAAAGTCTAACCGCAAGAAGCCGCGAGAACTTATGAATCTTACCGCAAGCCGCAAGAGGGCGCAAGAAGTTGCTACATGATGTGTTAGTGGTTGAACTGCTCAGCGCTTGCTCGCAATGTTATGCATAAGAGTCACTGCAAGGGGAAGAGATGTAATATTCTTTTTACTTTTGGAACAGCTGAGACCAGATCTTGATTTGTGTTTGCTGATACTGTGAAAATAATATCGAACGCACCCGCTAATATTACGTACTCGTGTACGAACCTACCTTCGACCCGGAATAAAAGTCCTTCGCTCACGTTAACTTCATCGTCTGCTGTACTGAATAGACTAGCTTTGCCTATGTGAGGGTAATTAAAAAAGTAATTTTCGTTTTTCCTTCCCTAGGACGTTTAATTAACTGCCGTAGAAAGTCAAAGCAAGCCAACATGGTTATCGGTTAATTCTGCATAAATTAAGTGAAACACGTAAAAATGACAACGAACATTTGTTTTCAGAAGGCAGTAAATATCGATATCGCCCAGAATCAGATCCGATATATTCCAGCGTATATTACACCTATACGTAACTTTCAACACGTACTTTATTAATTAAAATAAAGACACTGTATTTTATCGTATAGATTGGGTAAAAAGTGCAGCAATTTCCGTTACTGTTTTATCTGCCGATATTCACCAGAAAACCTTTACTTTTTCTCACGTCTTTACTTGAACGAGACACAAAAAGCCATACATCTTATTTAGCTAACGATGGGGGAGGGGGGGGGGGGNACATTACACCAAGAAGATGAGTTTTTTACTAATAGTAGCCCAAAAACATCTGCCTGATATCTTTGAGAAAAACGAGAGCAATTAGAGAGACGAGAACAATTTTAATATCGTGAAACAGTTTTGTTTTTTTATTGCTTAAATCTTCCTGTTTTTTTTTTCCCAGTCAAAACACAAGGAGGTTCTCAATGGGGTGGTGCCTTTTACAGCAAACGGTGAATAATTTGGCATTTTAACGGCTGACGCTTAATTTACCTTCCTTACAGTTAACAGAATTCTTAAAAATTAACAACCACTATTTTACAAAGTCAACATTTTTTTTATTGTTTTAAAAAGTTGAAAATTTATTTTGATTACTGTAAAACGTGTTTAAGGCGGCCTAGGATGCCAAATTATTGACTGATATCTTACTACTATAGTAATAGATTTATATGCCTGTGAAGAAATAACAAACGTGCTGTATGGCCTTTGCTGCTTTAAATTGCAAAAAAAAAGAAAACAGTGTTTAGCCTACGACTGAATTTTTTGCCCGTTTAAAGGGTTAACCCCATCGCGACCGTCCAAAAGATAGCTATGTACAAAAAGGCCGGCTGCACAACACTAGTTGTATTCACATTACAGGACAAGAACGGTAACCTGTCCGATGAGTTTTGCGTCCTATTGGAAATTCGTGATGCAAAATACTCATTTAAACTTGCTCTAAAAATTTAAATAAGGACGGGTTAGAGGCGCCAAGTTGCAATAACAAAGTGCTTCGCTTTTGTCTGGAGCCCTGGTCTTAGTGTAAATTTCGACATGTTTCTGGTCTAGCAGGGACCAGAATTCGTCGACGCAGACGAATGCGAAGATGCAGGTAAATTTGAACGAGTTTCCCGCAAAACCCGTCCAGTCTGAGTTGTCATAAGCGAGAAACTGATCTTGGACAATTCACTACTATCATGATTCTCTCGGCAACGTTGTTGGCGTGCATGTACTTTAGTCTTTCTAGTATATTGTTTCATTGGTTAGTGAATTTTTATAATTCAAAGGTCCTAACCACAAACATTTTACCCACAGGGTTTTTAAACTGGGACGTAACGCGTAAAACAGTCAAGGAGAGCCGTTTGCTGTGTCAACTGTTTTGACATATAACACAACAACTGCCGAGCTGTTGTGTTTGTTCACCTGTCTTGTATGACAGTGTTTGAGAGGGATAACAATAAGCCTGGTTGATAAGACTTGCAAGAGAGCATGTCGCACGTCGAACTTTCTTCTACGAGAATGTAAAGTCGATCTAAAATCTACCATGTGCCTCAAACGATGCCCAGATAAAAATGACCAATTTTCAGACTGGTAGTTTAAAAACAGAAGCGGCTAATATTACGCAACCGCAGTGTTTTGTCTAAGATGAAAAACTTCTTTTTTGTCTACAGCTACAACAGATGACAATATTTCTGTTTACAAAGAGTTAAACACAGGTTATTTTTCGGCTCTCTAGTAATTGAGCATCAACCTAAAATAAGATGTCAAATGGTACGTGCTACTTGACCATTTTTATTTTACGTTTTACTTATTATTATTATAATATTATATTGATTATGGTTAAGCTAGCTTTTGTAATGAAGGGATTATTTAACAATCGAACCTGCATGTTCCAAGCTTTAAAAATTATTCTGTCTTTGTTCTCTCTTTGTTTTGAGAATTTGTTAAGTGATCAATCCAATATTCCTCAATGCAACAATTTGCGGTTTTATTTTCTCTTCTTATGATTGCTTGATACTCGTATTGTAAAAGGGAATTGGGTCGTGAGCACTCGTCAGTAAAGAATGGTTAAGCTAGCTTCTGTACTGATCCAAAATCTCTTATAATTTAAAATAAAACAGAAAAATAATATGCACTCTTTGCAGTGATGTTTATATAGTTCCATGTGGTTCCATATTTTCTTTTGTTAATTCCTTATTTAAAAAAAAACAAAACAAAAAACTACCGGTCACCATCTGACTGCGCCCAAAAAATCGTTATAGTCTGTCGAATTATATTACAGTATTTAAATTTTACCGCAAGTTTTTTTCGTCGGTACTAGAATTTAAATTTGCGTTATAACAATTTCACCCACTCTTCTCGATATTGCACAATAAGCCTGCCTAGCTTTGCCGCTATGAGGGAAATTTAAAAAAAAAAGGTAATTTGGGTTTTTCCTTGTTTTTCTTTGGTTTTTTCCTTGTTTTTCCATGCTTGTCGGTTCATTCTGCATATATTAAGTGAAACTCGCTCTGAATGACAACGAACATTTGTTTTCAGGAGGCAGTAAATAGCGATATCTCCTCGATTCAGATCCGATATATACCAGCTCATGATATTGCATTTAGTTTTATAAACCTGTAACCTTTAATACGTCTTTTAAACCTGTAACTTTGAATATGTATTTTATCAATTGAAAAAAGAAATAGAGACTTTTTTTATTGTGTGAATTGATGAAAAAGTGCAGCAATTTTCGCTAGTGTCTTAACTGCTCAAATCGGGCAGTTAAACTTTAATGTTTCTCATGCATTCTGTTGAACCAGAGGCAATAACCCTTTATACGATATTTCGCTAACGATAGGGTGGTGGCACTCCACAGTGCACACACAGTGGAGTTTTCAAAGCAAAATGAAACTTTTATTTCTAATTTATTAACAATTTGTTCTTGAGACTGGTAATAAGTCAATTTTATCGTCCCACTTTATTTGAGGCTACAGAATGTTTCCAGAACGTTATAGTGTTTTCAAGTTGTTACTTGGGAGCGGTTTGCTGAACTCTTGGGTACACGATCACGTTCTCGTCTTGCAGGAGTTGTTCGCAGTTCAATCGTCGAGCGGCGACTCAGATTCGTCTCTTGAAATTCTTCATTTTTCCTTTACAAAACTGTAAAAAGAAAAGAAATTTTACTGATCGTTGAGAAGACGGATGAAATTCCACTTGATGTGCGTATGATCAATTAAAACTCGAGAATTTTCTAACGATGAAAGTGCTGTTTTTGGGGGGTGTTTTTGCAGATCCGTCTCGTGCGTTTTGAGCTTTTGAAATTCCTGTTAAAAGGACTGGGATGAATCTAAGGTGACGATAAAAATTGAAGTGATAAAGACGCTCTGAGATCGATTGACAAGTAACGCTGGAATTTCAAATTATCTAACAAAACTGTCATAGGAAAGCTGCAGAAGGAAAACCGAGGAATACGATAAATGGAATTACCTCAATAAATAAATTAAGAGTGGCGCTGTGGTTAAAATATACTGAAAGTGTTGCTCTTTGAAATATTCTTTGGTGGCTAGGAATAAGTATAAATTGAACGCCGTGCTCAGTACAAATTAGTTCCAATTTTCTACTAGCTCGAGCTCTCTTTAATAGTAGCAAATAAAGATAGAATCACATTCTTCAGTTAAATTATGGAATTTATCGGATGTTTAACATCATCGTGAGGGCAAACAAACGTCCCATTACCTTCTTTTATCGTGAGAAATGTGATGCAAAAGACAAAAAGTCCAAACACCATTGTTTTGTGCATCTTGTGGAAATTCAGGAAGCAGCTGAGTGAGACAGTTTGGCGCCTAGCTAGTGTGAAAGCGCCTTTTAATCCCGTTCAAACGGCCAATAATGAGTAAGTCCATTATTTTCTTATCTTAAGAATATATTTAAAGTGACAAGCAATTCAATACCACTTAAATTGCGCGTAAAATGTTTTTAGAGAATAGATATATTGACAGTCTGTCTGATAAGCACATTACGAGGCAGATGCCCTGTTGTTGTTGTTGTTGTTTATAATAGATAAGAAACATTTCTTCGTAGCTTCCGTATCTTTTTTCGTTTTCCAGGATTCCTTTGGCAAAGTACTCAGAATAGGACCTTTATTTGGTGTAAGCGGAAGAACGCACGCACTTGGGTTGAGAATATTCTTTTCAGTGGACGAAAAACTCGCGCATTAAATACTTTGGCGCTAAACCAATCGTTTCATTCTTTTATTCGGTACCAAAGTCACTGGATTAGTATTATTAGCTTTGACTATTTTTTGCTAAAATAAGTTTTATTTTGAGACAAATTACAAATATGGCGGCTGATCTTCTCGAGTCGTTGGTTTTCCGGTTGCGTTTTAAGGACATCTAAATATGACGAAAATTGAATCATTGGAAAATGTTTCCGTTTTCAATTCTCATGGACTATAACAAGCAAGCTGTTGCACCACTCTTTGTTCATAAAAATGAGTTAATAACTCTTGACGGTTATCACTTGCAAATCAAGCGAAAAATGTTGTACACTCACGGCAAAAATATGAGGATTTTGCAGTTGAGTTGACTTTGAAATAATATGAACGCGCAATAATTTTTAGGGATACGAAAGTGAGACTGAAAACGTCCGTGATTAGAATCGCAATCGCTTTCCCAAGTTGACTCAAAGTCCATTATTTCACTTGCTTACTTTCCTAGCCTGTAAAATGACGTGAATTGTACTTTTTACACGTCCTACAAGCACTGTGTTTCATTCTTTTAAAGGAAACCAGCAATAATTTGTTAGAAGGGCAGACGAAAGACTTTTTACGAAATCGGTGTTCTAGTGGTCGGACGTGTTTTTCGTTGCTCCTCAAAATGCCGGAGTAGCAAGTGAATACCTTCCTGTAGCTAACCATTGAAATGCCTGCAGATCATAGTGAAAAACCTGATGGGTCGAAGAGAGAATGAAGGAGGAAACCCCGGAGAAGAAGCAGCTCCAAAACGGAGGAAGAAACGAGCGACTCTGACAAGGTTTGTGGCCATATACACAACATTAAAATTGAAGCCCAGTCAAGGCGGAGAAACATTAGCTCTTTGAAGTGCGAGAATTTATTACCGAGTTTAAATTTATCTCTAGTAATTTTACTTCAGCTGAGTTTTTTTTTTTCCTTTTCTGGTACCAGAATTTAAATTTCGTCCTATGCATTTTGACAATTTCAGCCACTTTCCTTGATATTGCAAAATAATACTTACAATGCGGCCCTAAAATCATGCACGCGAAAGAAACGGCGCAAAAAGAACACACAAGCCGCCGCAAAGAGGTAAAAATGTCGTGTTTTTTCCGGTTTACCTGCAAAGAACATTCGAAACGCAAGAAATTGAAAGTCTAACCGCAAGAAGCCGCGAGAACTTATGAATCTTACCGCAAGCCGCAAGAGGGCGCAAGAAGTTGCTACATGATGTGTTGGTGGTTGAACTGCTCAGCGCTTGCTCGCAATGTTATGCATAAGAGTCACTGCAAGGGGAAGAGATGTAATATTCTTTTTACTTTTGGAACAGCTGAGACCAGATCTTGATTTGTGTTTGCTGATACTGTGAAAATAATATCGAACGCACCCGCTAATATTACGTACTCGTGTACGAACCTACCTTCGACCCGGAATAAAAGTCCTTCGCTCACGTTAACTTCATCGTCTGCTGTACTGAATAGACTAGCTTTGCCTATGTGAGGGTAATTAAAAAAGTAATTTTCGTTTTTCCTTCCCTAGGACGTTTAATTAACTGCCGTAGAAAGTCAAAGCAAGCCAACATGGTTATCGGTTAATTCTGCATAAATTAAGTGAAACACGTAAAAATGACAACGAACATTTGTTTTCAGAAGGCAGTAAATATCGATATCGCCCAGAATCAGATCCGATATATTCCAGCGTATATTACACCTATACGTAACTTTCAACACGTACTTTATTAATTAAAATAAAGACACTGTATTTTATCGTATAGATTGGGTAAAAAGTGCAGCAATTTCCGTTACTGTTTTATCTGCCGATATTCACCAGAAAACCTTTACTTTTTCTCACGTCTTTACTTGAACGAGACACAAAAAGCCATACATCTNGGGGGGGGGGGGACGATAATCAAACATGTTAATATTACTTTCTTTTTTATGTCCTCATGCAGCCCTTGTTCTTTGGCAAGTAAGTGCTCGCGAGACCGAACACGCTGTCAACACGCCAAGGAGCGGAAAAAACCTGACAGTGCACACAACAGTGAAGTATTAAAAACAAACTGAAACTTTAATTTTTAGTTCATTGACAATCTCTTTTAAAATTTAGTACCAAGTAAGCTTTTTACCACTTTACTTGAGGCTACAGAATGTTGCAACGTTACAGAATGTTTTCAAGTTGTTATTTTGGCGGTTAATATTGCTGAACTCTTTGGTTCAAGTTTTCGTCTTGCAGGAGTTGTTCGCAGTTCAGTCGTCGAACAGCGCGGCAGATTCCTCTCTTAAAACTCTTTACTTTGTTACAGTGCTGTAAAAAGGAAAGGAATTAATTGTTAAAAAGGCAGATGAAACTATACTACTGGCGCGCTGTGATGAACAGAGACCCAACACGGACTCGTCTCTTGAACGCCCGGTTATATTGCTGCAAAAAGACAACCGAGGAATAAGACAAATGGGACTCAAACAAAGGCGCAATGTGATAAATTAAAACTCAAGAATTACATAATGGTTAAAATATACTAAAAGTGTTGCTTTGTGCTATGTTATTTGGTTGCTAGGTTCTCAGCTAGGACCGTCTAAATTGAGCGCTGTGCTCAATAAACGGTTCTGATCAACTTTTCCCACTAACTGCAAATAAAGATGGAAAAGTATTCGACAGTTAAATAATCATCATTGGAATTTACCGGAATTCTACTATACGGAGGACAATGCACCGCCCCAGTGCCTTCTTTCATCGCGAGAAATGCGATGCAAAAGAGGAGAAGTCCAAACACCAGTGTTTTGTGCATGTTGCGGAACTTCAGGAAGCTGAACCAGTTCGTTTTGGCTCTTAACGAGCGTGCGTGCGCCTTTTAATCCCGTTCTAACGGACACTAAT